GTGCTGATTTGCGGCCGCATACCGATCTTCGACGTAATGTGACGGCTTTCAGCAAGGTGTTCAATTGTCGTTATTGAGAGAATTAATCATGAGTTTATAAGTCAACAGATACAGAAAGATGTCTGTTGATTACAGCTAAGTTAAACCTCTAAGGACCACTTCATGTCGTGGATAAAAATTCCTTTTCCGAATCTTTCAGACGGATATGTTTACTGTAGGCAGGGAAACATGGCGCCCCGCGTCAGGCCCCACGGGAGGCATGATCAACCATCACAATAGGTTCCGGCAAGGTTCCTTGGCCCCTGGGAATCGACGCCTGATGTATATTTATAGGCAATTAACATAATGGTTGATCGCCACGTGATGCTTCCAGTTCTTGCAGCGTATACAGATGATTCAGAAAACGTTGTATACTGAAGATTGTGTATTCTAAGTTTATTAGATCTCTTAATGGCCTGAGTCACATGCCTATTTTTTTACTTCTTATACATAGTGAAAGCAAGAATGCGTTACTTTCACTAGTTTTTTATATTAATTATTGTTAATAATTCTAATTGTTTATTCATACGCCGCGATATTCTTTTCTAACAGCTCAGTGGTGTAACGACGTCAAAATGCTAGAAATATCGAGCCCGGAGTAAATATCCTGTCTTTTTCAATTTTTAAAATAGCTAGCCCGACTTCACGCTCTAAGAGCGTCTAGTCTGAAGTTAATCGCCTCAAATACACCCCACTATTTTGATTTTTGAATTTCTTTTCTTCAAAACCATATACACTTCCCTTAGAAAACACAAAAAAAATCCTTTATATGCACTTTAACCAGCATAGTGGCAGACACATGCCATGTATGCTGCTCGTTTTCTCAAGTACAACAGGAGTATAAACAGCTGAAAAAAAGGTTATACTGATATATACAATTACGCCGTCCAAAAAGGGGGGTGCGTCTACACCCAAAGCACCTCCCCTGGATCCCCCCTGAGTTACTGATGAATATGCAATACAGGGGTCGTGCGGGGGTTCACTCAAGTCCAACATTAACTGGTATGAAGTACCACACCCTTCCTTTGGGGGGCTTACCAGTTACCAGTCACCTGCTTTCTCTGGGAGCAAAGATCAACTGACAGAAGATTGACTGATTCAAAAATTTCCATGTGCCATACATAAACAGTATCATATGACCCAGATTCTGCAAGTCCTCTGGTATTATCTACAATCAGTTTCCATTGTGTAACTGAGAAATATCAGCTGGGCCGCGGGTTCTTCAAAGCCCAATAAACATTAATCCAGGTTTAACTACATAGGTTTTCTAAGAGTTAACCTAGGATTAGCGCTAATCAGGCTTTGAACAACCCAGCCCAGGGTATGAGAATGTATTTGGTTAGTAGAGTGAGGTCATTAAACCTGTGAAACATAATATAACTGCTAAAGTGTGATAGCCTGCATTACATCCCGGATGTAACGCAGGCTAAAGTGTGATAATGGACAGAAAAGAAAACAATGGAATTGTTTTTTTTTGACTTCACTCTACTTTTTCCATATGTGATGTTTGCACTCTATTCAGTTTTACTTTGAAGTTTATTGTTTGCAATTGTTTATTGAACATTGGTGAACTCCACTATAAGTAGAAGTCGGTCAGTACAGTAAGTAAAGAACATTCAGACATACCCCACCTTGTCAAACAATTTTCTTTCTACCATGTGGGATATCTCTCAATGCAGTTTAAATCTTTCATGAACCATTCTGTGTGAAAAAAAGTGAAACGAGAAGCACATCCCTCAGTGAAAACGATGATCACCAATTCAAGCGAATAATCATGAGAGACAGTTGTCCGGCTGCAAATTGTTAACTTTTAAGTTGGTACTTGGAAATGTGAAAAGGAGCCAATACAGGATTCAGTAATTATCAAAGAAGTTATTAAAATCAGATAAAAATCTAGAGCAACAAAATGAAAAGCTAAAATAAATATTGTGTAACTTTATAGATTCTTCTAAGCACCTTGTCAATAGCTATACATTAATATACTGTTATACCTTTCTAGCATTCTGCAAGTTATAACATAATTCTCTATTTACAAAAAGCAATAATTGCTTTGAAATGAAAGCAAGCAATATAGAGCAATAAACTATTAATATTTTAATTCAGCATACAGCTCTCATAAGTAGGTATCATATATTTTATGTTGATGAATGCATCTGGCCCACCATGCTGCTCAAATTTTGCAAGTGTCTCATTGATAAGATCTCCAATGTTTTCTCTCTTTTGTTGACTGTAGTCAATGCCATCACCAGAATTGATGTTCCAGTTTTTGAAGAGGTTGAGAATGGGTAAGATTTGTCGATAGTAAGCAACCAAAGCCTCGCCGACATGATCCCCAGACAATACCAGACTTTGAAGAGTCTTCAGTGTTGTGCAGATCACTTTAGGATTTCTGGTGTTTAAAGCTTTCTTGATGGGAATAATAAGCTGTGGAATTACAGGTAAGATTTTGTTTCCTCCATGCTCTAACATATCGTGGACTCCTTGACGAGCAAAGAACTCATAAGGATGTGACGTTTCAGAGAGACCTTCGAAGAAGAGTGGAAGGTAGTGGTGGTAGTCAAGCTTTTCAATCTCAACCTTCCATGCGATCTTGTTTCCTTTGGTGTCATGTTCTAAAGCGATTGGAAAGTCACCTCGGTCATAGCATTTCCTGAAGTTTGTTGGTGAGGCTGGTCTTTCTTTAAATGCTCCCACTGGAGGAGGGTTTTTTACCTGTCAAAAAATGTTTTATTAATACTTACACACTTAATTTCCATGCCAAATCATACATGACTATGGCACACTAAAGTAATTATACTTACACTTAAATTTTGATAGTCACAATTAGTCACCCTAATTGTTATATTTTTAAAATAACTGAGGTCTAAAACCATTCTTCACAAACATAAAATTAAGCTTAATATTAAATCGGAGAAATCACATAAATTTAACCCAAAATCAGTTTAAAAAAGGTTATCTATAATTTAATCAGTTTAATTTCTTATTGTTTACATGCAATCATATTGAAGTTACGACTCAACAACTTTTATAGCTCGATATCTGGCTCGATATGTAAGCTTACAATATTCTATTTCGCTCGCTTGTCAACTCGAAACAAATATTCTCTCCTTACCTTGGAGTTTTTAAGCCTCGATTTAGTAGAAAATCCCTCGGCAGGTAAAGATCTTTCAACAATAACCCGTCCATGTGTATGTGCCTTTTCCTAAATGAAAATGTAAAGCTAAATTTTGAACTAAAATCAATCAAAAAACCACGAATGTCATGGTAGACTAGTTCAGCTTGACATTTTCGAGACTTACATGGGAATCCTTGGGCTTTCTCCCGGTAGAATTGTGCATTGTTTTGGTTTGTATAGAAACTGAAGTCGCCATGCTCTGGCAAACGAAAAAAGATCTTGAAAAGACCAAAAAATCAGCGCTCAGAATGGTTCGAATTTCATCAAATTTTCGTGAACGAGAAATCGAACATTTCTCTACGTATGGTAGCTATGGCAACAGATGAAGACATTACCAAATATGGTGGTATCGCCTTAGTCTCACGGTACACAGGAACCCCACAAAAATATCACAGATGTAATTCCAGTGAAATCTCAATAAAATTTTTTAAATTGTATTTCCAGGAAGCCGAGGATTTGGACTTGATATATGCTGATGTCTATCAAAATTGTCTATTTAGAAGATAATTCCCTTTGAATGTTGATACTGGTTTTATTACATTATTATCTAAGTGCACTTTTTGGTTGCAAGGGAAGTGAAGGGGTAATGTGCACCGACAATATAATATCAAGGTTGTAACATAAAAGACCAAATTCAAAGAGCAAATACAAGATGCTCAAATAAAATCCAAAAATTCTCAAAATGTAAAAGCATGGCCAGGATCTAAATGTGACCCATCTCACCCCATTACTGGGTTACAAATTTGACAGTTGACTAATGACCCCACCCCCCTCCCCAATGCTACGTATGTAGTATTGTATCTTCCCTAATGCAATATCCCATGTACCATTTCACATCAGCATAATTTTTATTGGGAGGCAGGGGCTAAATTGGATAGGAACAACTTCAAAATGGTGGCCAAATTATTGCAATACCAGTTCCACGGTGCCTGTATTTAGTCAGACATTTATTCCCGTCATAGGAGAATGAGGAAAAGATGTTGCTGGCAGGTATGATCCACTACGTAGTTTTGGCTCAGATTTTGTATATTGAATTTTTTATTCTCTGTATAAGGATTTCTCTAGCACATAACGTTCACCCGTTGCATGACTGCTGGATGGCCCTTGAAGTCGGCACTATTTTTGCACTGATGACAGAGAATCACTGTATGGCATTTTGATGTTCTTTTCTACACTTTGGCTTGTATTGCCTGATGTACCATAGGAATTACTTGCCAAAACATAGCAAAGAATACAAAATATGTACATGTGATAATCAGTAATCTATAAGCTGTCTCCCTTATCTGGGCCGACTTTGAGCAATTTATTCAAATTGTCTGGTCAGAGGCAACTAAAGTTGTAATATAGCATGCATTCAAGTACCAATGATTGCATATATTTAAACTCATTCATAATCATACTCGAAAAATGACCATCTTAGATTTCAAACTTGAATCACAAAGCACCATTAACAGATCTTTTTTAAAAAAAATTCAAAAAATCTTGGATGCATGAGGATTACGACTGGAGACCAATGTTTTCAAGGGATATTTGTGATATATCTTTATTCAATTTGTCAATTAAATACATGAAACACGCTGTCATTTAAGCTTACATAACCTCTAAATGGACAAGATTATCAAATTAATTCAAGAACATAATAATGAGGTTAGCTCACTTTTGTCTCGACCTTGAAATTAATATTTACAAAGTAAAAATAAGCAAAGCATCAATCAAAAAATACAGTATCTCAGTTTGAATAAAGCCTCTTATTTACTAATCTCTAAATTATTTAGAAAAGAGTCAATGTCTAATTCAACATACAACTTTCATATGTGGGTACCATGTATTTGATGTTGATGAAAGAATCAGGGCCTCCTCTCCTCTCGAAGCTCTCTAAAGTTTCTTGAATAAGATCACCAATATTCTCTCGTCTTTGTTGGCTGTAGTCGATTCCATCTCCCGAGTTGAGATTCCAGTTTTTAAAGATGTTAAGGATAGGTAGAATCTGTCGATAGTAAGGCACTAGAGCTTCGCCGACCAAATCAGCTGATACAACAAGATGCTGAAGACTTTTTAGTGTTGTGCAAACAACTTTTGGATTTCTGGTATTCAAAGCTTGCTTGATTGGAATGATCAGCTGAGGGATAACGCCAAGGACTTTGTTTCCTCCATGCTCTAGCATATCGTGAACTCCTTGACGAGCGAAAAATTCATAAGGATGTGACGTTTCAGAGAGACCTTCGAAGAAGAGTGGAAGGTAGTGGTGGTAGTCAAGCTTTTCAATCTCAACTTTCCATGCGATCTTGTTTCCTTTGGTGTCATGCTCTAAAGCGATTGGAAAGTCACCTCTTTCGTAGCACTTTTTGAAGTTTGTTGGTGGCGAAGGTCGCTTTTTGAAAGCACCACAAGACGGTGGCTCTACAACCTGAAAACGATGAAGCAGCATGGTCAATGACTTCGATTGTTTACACGCGAAGTTTAACATGAAGTCTTACAAACCTTTGAATTTTTGAGCCTTGATTTTGTCGAGAAACCTTCAGCTTCCAAAGACCGAGTCATCATACCTCCTCTAGATTGAGACTTTTCCTGTGAAACAGAAAATTGATAAATTTGAGACTTCAGATCAAATAAACACTCGACTGTCATGACCCTGGCTGACACATAAATCCGCCATTTTGAAGAGAAGCATTGGCCTTTCTACTAACCTGTGATCCTTTCAAACTCTCAGAAGTGGTCCCAGTTATCGGTTGAACCCTTACTCTCATAGAAGTTGCCAAAGCCATTACGTTTAAAGTTAAAAAAGGCAAAAATATCAGCCACACTCCTGTCTCTTTAGCTACAAGCTCACTACTGCTGGTGTTGCGAAGTAAACAAAGTTACCTCTCGATCCGCGACCATAGCAACAAACCTTCTTAGTGATGTCACAGGAAAGTCATGTTTTGATTGGTCTGTTTGAATTGATTAAACACAGGGAATCCGAATAAAAGTATTTTTCACTTTCATTTTTCTTTAATCGTTTTTCACTTCGTTCCCCTCGCTATAAATACTTAAACTAAGATTTTTCTTCAATAAAACTTGAGCGTTATGAATATTCTTTTAGATTCCCTGAGAATCAGGTTTTTATTGATGAATTTCTCGACCTTTTTTGCGCTGAAGTATTGAAGTATATTTTCGCTAAATTTCCGCTCGTTTTGGATCTGATTTGACATCAAATCTGCTGTATCTTTGCATGACTCGAATATATTCCTGAAACATGCTACTTTGGCTTTCAACAAGATCGAATGTCAAGGTATCGAGTGTAATCTAATCGTCTAGCTTCAATGTCCAGGTGTCATATTTTAACGGTCATTTTTCTTATTCTCTTTTAATCAATGCTATTCTCTTTTAATCAATGCGGGTAGACTTTCATTATTCCATGTAAATTAGTCTATTTGAGTTACAATACTCATCATTAAAGCAGCAAAACACATTTTGTAGGTATTTTACACTATGTAGACTAGTCATATAATAAATCATTCTTGTGACATTAATCTCTAATACTTTGTTGTGGGTCACCATGGAAACGATCACGTGACCACACCGCTAAGTAACCAGGCCTGCTAGTTTCCCACATGGCAGAATAAAAAGGAAAATCATAGTATAAAACGTACATAAAAATTAGCAGGTCGTGCTACTTCGGTAGCGCGTATAATAAAATTGGAACGATACAGAGAAGATTAGCATGGCCCCTGCGCAAAAGCTGGGGCATAATCTTCGCTACGATGGGGCAAAAGGGGGAAGAGAAAGGGGGAAAAGAAGGGGGAAAAAAGAGAGAAAAGAAGAATTTACACAGGGAGCCCAAGCGCCGTACATAGGAATCCCAAACAATGAAATCAATATGTAAATCACTAAATATTTGCATATTAATGAGATTTATATTAGCAAAAAACGGTGTTTTAAAAGTGCAAATAAAASAAGGAAAAATGAATGAAAGTGGTTGTTTTGAAGCTCAAATTGTTGTATGAATATTGTACCTTAATGGCAAAAAAAATAATAATTGCTGAAGCAAATCGGTGATTTTAGGAAAGTGCTGAATAGTGCTGTGTATTCTTCGATGTTTTTCAAGGCAACTAAGACGTTTTTGACGCTATTTCAAGATAAAGACGTCGATTATTCTCTCTTTAGATTCACTCTTGATATCGCAGTTATTTATTTGCTTTTATTTTGTGTTTKTATGTGTTTTACTTGTGCTAGCTCATCAAAAAAGAAATCAAAAGAAGCTATCAAAATGTCATTTTGTTATAAGGGAATTGTGTCTTGAGGCAGCTATTCAAAAAGAGTTATSTCGAAAAACAATCACTGAAATGAATTCCTTATTAGGTCAAAGAAGACGCCTTTTGGACTTTGACCCATATGGTCAGTTCACAAATGTTGCCAAATTTGACTTTACGATAGCTCTCGGCTTTTTAAGACCAAATTTGGTATGGGCCAAGTTTTACTTTTTGGACTTTGATCTCAATGTCATTTGAAATTGTTACCAAATATGACTGTGGAATTCTCTTTTCCTTTTTTGAGACCAAATTTGGTAAGCTAAAAGTTTACCAAACTGTTAGCACGTCCTTATTTGAATAAGCTACGTGCACCCTACCCCACCCATGTACTATCAATAGGCTCGCACTAGGCGTAGATTTGTCAGTCGCACTCACCATGGTCTGGGTGAACATGAATCTCAAAGAAGTTTTTCCCGACTAGTCATCTATACTACAGGTAATTATAGTTAACACTGATTTGAAATAGTAACTAGTTCGCTAAACGTTAGTGTGGCCTGATGGCAAATACTAATCAATAAGTCAGAATTCTATCGTTTTACACATTGTTCTTTTACTTATCAAAAGATAACTGCTTATCATCATCATGCCCAAGACTGGTTTATCAGACAGAGAGTGGCAAGAACGCTTAAGATCATATGCCCAAGGAGCATTTGTGTTTGGAAGGGGACAACGACCTTCGAAGGCTTCCAAATGGACGAGAGTCATGGAAAAGATCGAAAAATGCCCGAAAATGACGGCCAAAGCTAACTTCGATCCATTAGGACGAAGACTGGAATGTTCCTGCGGCTATCACATAACACCGAAGGTAAATGAACAATAATCTTTCGCTAAAATAGATTTCATGTCGTATAACGCAGTTATGTTTACCTGGTTATTGCCCAGCTAGTTTGTATGGTATTTTGCTGGTCTTTTTTGTAGTTTTCGCAAATTGTTCAAATTATTTTTTTGTCGTTATTTATACAGAAGACTACTAGAACGGTAACAACAAGTGCGTCTAACTTATCGCAAGAGCCGTCTAATACATTTATGGTAAATTTTTAACAATAATGAAATGTCTTGATTGACAGCTGGGTGTAAAACTATTTATGCCAGGTTTTCTTTGTTTGTTTTGCTAATCTTATCGAACCGGGATAATTATTTCATTATCATTATCGCAGACTTCAACTACTACTAGAACTTCGTCAACGACAAGTTCGTCATCGTAAACTCAAGAGCCTTCAACTATATCTAAGGTGAAAAATATAGAATACTTATCATCTATATGCAAATATTTCATCTATCTGCAAATATTTATTTCTACTTATTTAATTATTAATTGGGTGTTTTTTTTGTGTGTGTGTTTTTTTTTTTTTTTTTTTTGGGGGGGGGGGAGTGTTGGATGGGGTGCTGCCAAATAAATCTCCAATTTATTTTCATCATTATAGGAGACTTCAACTACTACTATAGCTAGAACGTCGTCAACGACAGCGAGTGCGTCTCACGCATCAGAAAAGCCATCTAATACGGTAAAGTTAGATTGAACAATTTTTTTACAGAGAGAATATTTTTGTCATATGTTTTCTTATATCTATTCCTTCTTTATACTGAGACGTTTTTATGCATTTTTATATTTTAATTTCTCGAATATTACTGTAACATATTTTTCTAATATTTCATGTATATTTTTCTACATAGAAGAGGTCAACACCGAAGAAATCATCGCGGACTTCTAGTAAAACATCGACAACGACAAGTGCGTCATTATCAACTCAAGAGTCTACAGTGACATTAAAGGTGAATAACATAAATGTCCCTTATAAATACGCATGAGAAATTTACTGAAAATTCCTTATTTCAATCTGTTTTCAGGAAGCTTGTGGTGTTGACAGTGTGACAGAAGACGTGGATACGTTTTCCAGTACTATTGATCCTCTCCCGTCCACTTCTAATATAACATCTCATGTAAGTGCTTGTTGATAGAATTTTTGTGCGTACTATAGGACGGCAATCGCCTAGTAGACGAAATTTGTTTAATAGGATTTTTTTGGTTTGTCAATAGGATAATGCATCTAGTTCCACTGGCCATTCGTCATCTTTACTACCTAGAAGTGCCACTGACTACAGTCTACGACTGCCTGTTGGGTGGAGGGAAAATATGGCACCTGGAGACCAAGCGTGGGTTGGACGTACACTCTTCATAGCAAAACACAAACTACAGACAAAACTAAGCAACTGGTGGCATCCACCGCAAGTCAGCCACGCCTCGACAAATCCAACAGCTAGGAACTATTTCCTCCGTCGACTGTTTTTGTGGATGCCCAGAAAGATGTGGGAGGTTGACTTTACCTGCCCAAACTGTACAGAAAGGTCATCCTTAAGATCTAAGGGTCTGTATAATCGCGTCCGTCTCGTCGTCGACACCAAGGATTATTACTATCTTGCCGCAGAGTACATGGACTGCAATAAGTGTAAAGGTAAGCTTGATCATATCATTTTTAGCATATTTCATTATTTCCACGTCATATTTTTACTTAGAGTGAACATTAGTCGTATTGAATATCAATATTAATGGCTCTGTATTTAGGAACGTTTATTGCGTGGGATGAGCGAATGCTACTCCAGTTAGCAGATGGACTGCGGGCCAGATTTCCAGTCATTCTCACACGAAAGTATGCCTGTGATAAGTCTGTTATCACGATGCTGAGATCACGCACGTTTGGCAATAGCCCTGGAGCCCTGCGACACAACATCCAGGAACTACACAGCCAGGCCTGGCTCCAAAAGACCATCAGTTATCTGACAGATTGTGAGCGACAGCGTAAAGTACGGTACAGCCTCATGGGACAGAACATCACGTTTGACGCAGTTCCCGTAATGCCACAGTTTCCAACGGCTAAGTGGTTCTTGGCAACCTATGTACGCGACGTGTACTCCAGGATAGACGAATTGCTACCGCAAATTACATCAACGTGTGGAGACATACTCAAAATAGACTCGACAAAAAAGATCTGCAAGAAACTGCAAGGTATGTTGATGAATGAATGAATGAATGAATGAATGAATGAATGAATGAATGAATGAATGAATGAATGAATGAATGAATGAATGAATGGATAAATGGGCGAGTAAATTAGTGAAAGATAATATGAATTAATTTTCAAAGTGTTTTTATCTCACAATATGTTTTTTTTTGTTCTCCAGGAAAGGCCGCTGGATCAGCCGCTTGGACGACGAACGTCGGAAATGAAAAGGGACAAATTGTCCAGTGCGTTCTTACAGCGTCTGAGGGGATGCCCGCACTAAAACCACTTAAGGATGGACTGGTTAACCGTTACAAACAGGCTAAACACCACCCACCTTCTCTTCTCTATACGGACCGTGACTGTTGCACAGCCGAGGGACCGTCAAAGTACAACGATCTATTTGAAGAGTGGCCTGACCTCATAGTGAGACTAGATATTTTCCATTTCATGCGACGATTGGCTGTCGGCGTGAGCACCGAGTCCCACCCCATGTATGGAATGTTCATGCAACGCTTATCATTGGCCATCTTCACCGTTGACAGCGAAGATTACCAACGCCTTTATGATGCGAAAAAAGGAGAGTTGCGGCAAGCTGGAGCAGCTGACCTTTCGGAAAAATCAATAAGGTAAGTAATCCTATCAAAAATTATGTTTTTTTGTACAAGTTTTTTTATCTCAGATAATTACGATATTTTTTCTTATAATTTCTTACATTATAATTGACAGGAAAGCAATAACTAAAGACGAAGTCAATCGTCATTGCAAAAGAGCGACCAGAGGAACTGAGGAGACTACTGACGCCATAGAGACACTCATTCTGTCCATATCCACGGCAACTGACGAACTGGGTGTACCCATATTCAAAGAAGAAATGAAGGAGATTTGGTCAGAGCAAAAGAAGCATGTAAAGTGCATCCAAGATCCTGACGGGATGAGTCTGTACACCATCACGGGTCAGATCACCAAAGGAGGAGTTAAAGTACCAGTCTACCGGTGCGCAAGGGGATCAACGTCACTGGAGAGTTTCCATTTGCACCTGGCGCGTTTCATTCCGGGGACATCGGCAAATTCCGTTAACTTTCAGGCGTTCCTGCTGGACGGGATATCCCGTTGGAACCAGGCGAGGGCATATGATGCGGTCGACACCGGCAGAGCATCACCACTAAGAACGTTCGATGTTCGACTGCAGGCAAGAATAAACGACTTGGCAACCAACGTCTATGGCAAGCCCCTTTTCGAACACACGCAGAAACCAATGAGGTACACTGGGGAGCTATTTGGAGTGGAGTACCTACACGTCCAAAGTGGATTGACCTGGGACTTAAACCAAGAAACTCTCGAGAAAGAAATCGATGACGGTTTTGTCGACGATGATGAAATGTATGATAAAGACAATCTGGACGCAGACGTTAAGATGATGGGAGATGCAATGTATAGCGAGGTTGATCATGATGATGACGAGGAGGAAGATGATCATGACAATGAAGTGGAGGTAAGGCATATATAAAAAATAATTGAAGTGCGATGCACGCTGATATTGCGCGCGATAATACGACAGATCCAAATTGCAAATTAGTGTATTTTTTATACAAAGAAAATTTTGTAATTTATTGACATATATTTGTTTCATATCTTAGGAAGAACTAGTGGACCAAAAGGACGAAACAAAAGATGCAAGAGGGATACCTGGATGGGACAGAGTGGAAAATCTGGCAAACGTTCTAGCAGAACTAGACGGTCTGTCTGTTTCGAATAACAAGGCGCAAGAGATAAGGGAACTTTACAACAAATTAGAAGACTTCGACAAGCAGCCCATCACATTTAAGCCAAGACCCGTAAAGCCACAAAGAGGTAGATTCGGACGTACTAAAAGATCTGGACATGTGACCTTAGAGGCCATGAAACGGTAAGAATTTCAAAAAATACAATTTATGAAATAAGAATAAAAGCCGAAAGAAAATAGGAATATACAGATAATGTTAATCACATATGATAGCTAGTATCACTGATCATTAATTTTCCTTCAATTTTGTTTTGCAGATGCTTTATATCAGGCGGTGCCCCAGCATCTTCACCATCCCTTAGCAGACTTGTGGAGGCTTTGTGTATTAGACTATGTGAAAAGTATCCCACCTTCAGAAACCAAAAGGGAGCTCTAGGAAGGAATGTTTACACTTCCAGATGGCGGCTCATTGTCTCTGCCTACAACTCAGTGAGGGCAAGAGTCCAGAACAGCGAGTCGTTAGAAGAAGTACCCATCCAACTATACCACATCAATGAGAAGACTCTTGCTTCATGGTACAAGGATAGTGTGAGACGGGAAGAGGTGAAAACATTGATGAAAGGACTCCAATTACCTCAGACAGAACTGATAGCAGCCAGACGCCTGCCGACAGCAAAGCAGCTTCCAACTGTAATGCCAGCTCCAAGCACCAGTGAAATCCATGAGTTCCCATCTGAGGAAGATAGAAGTGGCCAAGCGCAAACAAGAAAACCAGCCACACCACCTACCAATGATGAACAGGAACAACAACCACCACAACAGCAACCACCACAACAGCAGCCACAA